CCGGCAGCTTTAGCCCTCGGCTTTGCCATAAACCTTCCTGCGCCTGTCGTTAAACGCCTGCCCCGTTTTCAACTTAGGGTTTGTTTCTAAAACAGCATACAGAGATAGCTGGAATTACACCTGTGGCGAGGATCTGAAATTTCAGTGATGTTTTATGTCTCGGGGAAAAAAACATCTTGATATTTTTCAGAATTCTTCACTTTGCCTCCTCTGGAGGATGCGTGCTGGGAGGGTGATGAGTTTTGTTGCCCTGTTGTGCGTGGATGTGAATTTAACTTATGTTATTGCTGGCTCTTTGTTTTATCCTTTGTTATTGGTGTAGCAGCAAATCGTTGGGTGGTTGGGTTTGTTTTTGAGAGTTTACCTTTTCAAATCGCTTGTAAAACTACAAAGTTCTATTCGAGTAGAATAGCACCGTTGTCTGTGTTAAGTGATATGTGGAAATTCTGGAATAAGTGCAAACAGTTCATAGCATAATGACGTGTAGGAGTAAAGCATACTTTGTGTACGGTCTGAGGAACTTTAGACAAGCAATTCCTCTGTTTGCTGGGTCCTCAAGGAGGAAATATGTGAGATTAGGGTCTTTGCTTACAGAAGTTTATCAAATAGCGCACAGGCCATTAAAAAGACTTTCTATGACTTCTTAACTGAAATAATTCCACACACTCAACAGAGGTTTTAAACCTTGTCTGCATGTACATGCCCAGGTCAGTGTGACCTTTTCAACCTGTGTGTCTTTTAGAGTAAATTTTGGTGGCCTTATTTCATAATTCTCTTATTTTTTTTCTCCTCTGCTGGACAGGTTTGCTGTGAGTGTTGGCTACTGGAAGGACCCTTACATCCAGTATTTTGTGAGACAAGCCAAAGAAAGAAAAGCACCTGAAATTAATAGAGGCAAGTTGGCATGTGAACCTGAATGAAGACAGTGCAAATGAGTTCTTAACTGGTCTTGAAGAGCACCTGAGAGAACCTCCATATACTGGGTATTATGGGGCGTAGGAAATATGTAATAGAACAAGAGAAGTTTTCTTCACAGTAATAACCATACTGTACCTAATGTTTCAAATATTATTCTTCAGATCAAAACTCTTATCCTTTGCTTTCTATATTCCATTCAGTGTGTCTCGGCATGCAGTAGTCTCTACAAAATGATCAAAAATGTTGATTTGACCTGGGAGAGCAGGGTATGTCACCTCTGGTCTCTGCAAGAGTGTGCACACCAGCTAGAATTGTTCTCCTTGGTTTGAGATGAAACTTGACTAAAACTCTTATTTACCTGAGGAATCCTGTTTTATCAATGCATCAGATTTTATGAGTAATAAAACAAAAACCCTTGGGTAACTTAAAAAGAGTATTTTATTCTTCGTAAGAAACACCATTTTTTAAATTTGACAAAGTTACCTAAAAATTTTAGTGAGTGTTTAACATCAAGTATTATATGAAAATAATAATTAAAAATAAACTCTGTTGTTGTTGTTACCAGGCTATTATGCTCGTGTTCATGGAGTCAGTTATCTGATTAAAGCTTTTCTAAAGAAGACAGAATGCAACTGTCAAATTGTTAATCTTGGTGCTGGCATGGATACCCTGTTCTGGAGATTAAAGGTAATGGTAGCTGACAGTAACAGACTTGGCTGGAGATGAAGATTTGTGTGGACATTTGAAACACCTTTCTGTGAGGTCTTATCAGTGCTGCATCCTGTAGTACAATGTGGAGGTGTGCAGCGAGGCCAAGTACTGCAGCAGACTGCCCTGGCTGGTCTGCCTCAGTTCTCACCTGGCTTACAATTAGTTTAGGTACTTGTAAACCTCAGTGAGCAGGAGTGGGCTGCTCTTTTCACTGGCTTTTACCAAAAAGTGTGTAACATGAAGCTGACCTCTAGTGGACTTTCAGGAGCAGAGCTTGAACTCCATGTTTTGCTATCCAATTTAAACCTTAAGATTTGATTTCACTTTTTTATCCTCTATTGAAACAAGAATAAAGTACCAAAGTAAAGGATTGTACAGGCTCTATTTACATGTTTCTGAAGTATTTATATAAATGTGAGTTTCTGTATGTAAATATATATATATATCTGTCTATATGCATGTATGTAACTCACAAAAATTCAGATTATTCGGGTATTATAGGATAGTATTCTGACCGAACACACCTCTAAGCTATCTTGTCTTTTCATTAGCATTGTAAATGTGGTTTCTGGAAGAAAACTCAGGGAGGCCAGTTGCATTTTGCTCGGTCACAATTCATTATATTTCAGTCAGTGGAAGGGAAAAAATAAATGTTTTTTTTCCTGAGATGTGAAACTTTTCTTACCTGCATTCCTATGAAAACTATGTCAATACACATTTTTATTAATGTTCCTGTAACAGTGATTTTAAAAGCTAAAGTGGGGCCTGTAATTCCAATTCTTTCTCCTTGTAAAGAGCAGGTGTGGTATAATTAATGTACAGAAGATAGGACCCAATTAATTGAGCACTTCAGTGTTCTGACTACTGATTTAATCTACTGTTCAGAAATTCATGAGGTTGACAAGCCAGAACTAGCAGTACATATCCATCACAAAAGGATTGCTGCATAGGGAGAAACTTGGTACAGCTTATCTATCAGGGTGTCAGATAATGACAACATGAAATGAAGAGGTCTTCCCCTTTTTTGTGGTAGAGGAATACTGATACACTTGTAGTCTGGCTGTTGGTTTGAGGACAAATGTAGAATGTGGTCACTTTCTGTATAAACCCTTGCAAAATGTTCCTGATTTCCTTCTTGGAAGAATACACTGAAGGTGCATGGTAAATGTTGTAATAATTTCCTGTTGCTGTGCTCTTCTAGATCCTGATAATATATTGTTGGAATATATTTTTCAGTGACTTAGTCTAGGATTACTGCGTTACATGAAATGGTAAATAATTTCCTTAATGCTTAGAGGACATTCTAATGTTTCTCAACTGTTTTTGTTGGGTTTTTTGTTTGTTTGTTTTTAAACTGTGGGACATGAAGTTACATTGCTGTTACAAATGCCAGTGTAAACTAAACCAAAACTGTTAAGGACTTAAGGTTGTATCTTTGTGTCACATGTGTAACTTGAGTGTCCCTAATTCTAGACTCTTACTCCAATTCTCAGGATGAAAATCTTCTCCCTAGAAAATACTTTGAAGTGGATTTTCCAATGATAGTTGCAAGAAAAATACATAATATCAAGTAAGTATAACACCTATGTTTATCTACGTGAAACTGAATGTAATTCAGCAAAATGTCGTGAATTGCAAGCTAGAATTTTCACCTCTCTTCTGAGAAACTCTTCATGCTCTAGGATTTAGAATAAAGATTTCATTATGCAGGCAAGTCGTACATGTGACTCTGCAGCCACTATTCCAAATTAGAGTAGTTGATATGTTGAAGCTTTAGGGAGACAAGACTTTATTCTTAATTATGTAAAATACAATGGGCAGGGGAAAGCCTCATGATGATTAGAGGCGATTAAGTCGTCTTCTCTTACTGTTGAAGATAGTAGTAAATTCCCAGACTTGTATGTTCAGTTAGAGAGGTAGGATAGGTCATACTATATGTGAATATTCTGCTTGAATGACTACATTAAGGCTTATGGAGGATACTTGCAGAGAGTGTCTGGATTTTTCTTGAAAGATTACCTCAAAACTTAAGAGTCATTGGATATAAAACTCAACTACAACTTACTACTAGGTCTAACTTGCAAACGTTTTTATTGCCAGTAGAGGGCAGAGGTATTTTCTTGTCTGTTTTTCACACACACACACACATATATATATGTTAAAAAAAAAAAAAAAGTAAGCACTCTGTTAAACAAGCTTAACTGCTCAGAGATGCTTCTTCCTTCTTCCCACAGATCAAAACCTCCCCTGTCAAAACCAATTATGGAATCTCATTCAGGGGACTCTCTTCTAATAGGTGAGTCATCTTAAAAATAAGTCAGCAGTGTACTGCAGCACTTTTAAAACTTTTCTGATCATTTTGTTCTGCTATGTGGGCAGGCTTTTAATGTTTGAAATGCTGTTTGGACAGAGAATTGGGAGGGAAAAGAGGCTTTTTTCTTCTCTTCCAGACTCCTGCCCATTTGTTCTGTGTCATGTTAGAAACGTCTTCTCTTGAAGTGGTTTTATTCTGCCAAAAAGTTGTTGGGTTTTTTCTTTTTCTCTCATGTGTAGCTTAAGTTATGTCCTCTTTTCTGTCACAGAAAAGGAAAAAGGCTACTGATAGTCGTGCGTACTGGGTTAAAATATCTATTGAGTGCTTTCCTTTATTGTCTTCATGTCTCATTAAGAGCACAAGCCTTCACATTTAGTGGAGTCTTCACAGAAGAAATGCAGCCTGCAAAGTCTATTCTGAGGAGCCAGTGCCACTTGTTACATTTTAGTATTAAGAGGCTATTAGATTCAGGTGGTGGTGTGTGGTTGTACTGTCTTGGCTTACAGCCTCATTATCTTGGTGTCAGGATTGTAATTTGAAAACCTCTTTACTTGTGGGGGAAAAAACCTGGATTCCATTGAGTAATGTTTTCAGTGCCCGAGTAGCAGATATTGCACTACAGTAGCTGTTTTGAACCCTTTAGGAGGAACAGTAATTATCTGCATCTACAATACCAACTAATTTGTGTTGGCAGATGTGACCCTAAAACAGAGCTAGCAGTATTTTCTGTTCCTTGATATGGTTACATGTACAGGTACTTTTAATAAGGACATTTCTAGCTGAGGGCTTCAAAGGGCCCTCCAGAGGGTGAGGAAGACTACAAAGAGTGAGGAGATGTGCTCGTGCTGCCAGTGGCAAGGTGTAGGTGCTTCACCCCAAGGCTCTTCTAGTGCATTAACTTGGATCAGAGTACTGCCACACACCGACTTGTGATATTTACACATATTATGCGCGTTTTATTGCTGCGTATTAGAGGGTCTTAACTCACCAACCTTCTAGGTGACATTTGAGTGGCAGAATTCTCCATTGTACGTTCAGGTCTCAAAAGGTGAAAGCCCAGTGTCCCATCTCAGAAGAAGGGCTCCTGAGTACCACTATTCCAGCTAGGAGACCTTCTTATAACTTATCTTTTAGATACGATGAGATATGCTGTGTTAGCACTGTTAAAGAGGCATGAATACAAGGTTAATCAGAAGGGTTTGATAGTATATTTGTGTTACTGAACAGCTGTAGATATCCCTAGTAAAGCAAAACAACTGCAAAGTTACCAAGTTGCAGTGGTGTATTGTAATCAAAACCTATTAATTTTAAGTCTCGGCAGTCAACGGCCATTAATGCATCACTGTTTGAATGTATTGGAGTGGCTCATTTCTCTAAAGCTGTTTTTCTTGTTTAAAACCCAGCACTGAGAAAGAACATTTTAGAGTAGCGATTTTACTGTAACCCAGCTGATGTAGGCTCTACTACACAGTGATCTTTGGGATGTAGGATAATGTCCAGATACTTGGAAGTAGTGGAAGTCTGTTGTGGAATCCCGGTTTGAACTGGCACTCAATAACCACAGGTCAATTTGAGTGAAATCCATGTGGGAACTCTCATTTAAAGACATATTAATAAAACTGCTTCACGTGGAAGTGCCACCAGAAGAGGCTGTGGACTAAGTAGACAAATCAAACGGATGAATAGAGATTTCTTACAGATCTAAAGGAACTTGACAATGAATTCGCTCAGCTACTAACTGGTATATACCCTCTCATTTTAAAACTATCTTAGTACCTGAGAACTGGAAGGTGGCGGCTGTGACTCAAATGGGCTCCAGGAGAAATCCAGGGAACTACAAGCCAGTAGGACTGATGTCTCTACTGGACAAATTAGTAGAAACTCTAACAGACAGACTTAGTGGAACACAGGAATAATATAATGTGTTGAGAAAGAATCAACATGGCTTTTGTAAAGGTAAGTTATGTTTCACAAACCTATTGGACTTCTCCATGGAAGTCAACCGGTATCTTGGAAAAGGACAACCAATTAATATAGTGCTTGAATTTAAAAAATATGTTTTGTCAGTGTCCCTGACCAAAGTGTGCCAAAGAAATTGCCCGGTTGTTGTGAGTGGAAGGAATGGTTCTCATATGGATAAAGAGCTGGGGATGGAGGGGTAGGCATATGTTGTTAATTTTCATTATGGAGTGAGATGGAGATCTGTGCTTAAGGATATGTTGTTGTTCAACACTAAGAAATGATTGGGAAAATAGAGTGATTAGTAAGTGGCAGCTTCTTGGCAAGTCAAAACTCTTCAGAGTGGTAAAGAGCTGTAGAAGAATCTTGTGAAATTAGTGACTTGGTGATAAATTCAATGTGGATTAATATAAAGTGATGCACATGGGTGATTGTGCCTCAGATGTAAATGATAGGCTGCTGGCTGATTATTGCTGCCTGCGTACAAGATCTGGGTATTACAATAAATAGATGTATGAAAACATTGGCTCAGTAGTGGTCCAGAAATCCAAATCAAATTTAAGGATTCTTAGAAAAAAGATAGAAAACAACATAGATGCCAATATTAGACGTACGTGTTTGCCCTCTTTTTGTCTTTTCCCCAGGTAGCTGCTGTTGGCATCTGTGAGAGGCAGGATATGGTACGAGGGGGAGCTTTGGTCTGACCTGATATAGCTGTTAGACTAATGCAATGCTCTGGGAATGCCACCTGTCATGGGGAGTGAGTGGGGGGGCATAAGGAAGCAGCATTTCCAGGTAGGAAAACATTACTCATTCTTGTGGTTTTGGGGGTGGGGATATGGACCAAGAACTTAGAATCTTGGGGAGGGAGATTGTCCTGTCCCATCCTTGCCCCCCCAAATCAGCAGTGTGGAACATGAGACTCGTATACCAGGAATAATTTGTTTAGATGCTTTGGAATTTGTTTTTTGAGCTGTTGTAATATCAATTGACATGACTCTTGTTCTCTTACTGCTTTTCTTCTCACTAAATGTTTTTGTTTCATGAAGCTAGTACTAATAGACAACTGTATCAGCTTCAGGGCAGCATCTGCTTTTTCCTTGCCCTTTAGACAAAGCAACGACAGCATGGCTTGCAATTCAAGTATAGATATTTGTGGCCTCTGCCCTTGAATGCAGCAAGATGACACTCGTCATTGAACAGCTTCGTTGTTTCCTAGGGAATGTTAGATCTCCAGGGGAAAGCAGTGAATTCGTGCAGTAATTTGACATTGCTGTGGCAATATCAGATTAAATTGTTTTCAAAGTTCAGTGGCACTATCTGGTTTATGATGCAGTTGCTAGCATTGGGAAGGTAGAACTCCACCTTTGCTACCTTGCAAGTGCAAATTACACTTCAATGAACTTATTACCTTTCATGCCACTCGTATACTTTCTGCCCGTGTCTAGTCCAGCTTTGGGAGTTGGTTTAACCTCATTTTCCCTATAGTTCCAAACTTCCTTCTGACCCAGTGCAGACGTCAGGGGTGGTGTTGTCTTGGTGACTTGTCTGCCTTGTGTTGGGGATGATCCTGCGCTTGCAAAGACAAACTAAATCTCTCTGTGTTTTGACATGTACCCTGTTCTGATGTTCAAGTTAACAAACAGCCTGAGACCAATACTATATCCTGCCTGTGAGCCTGCAGAATAGGTTGTATGGGCTGGTTGTTTGTAAAGCTGCCAAAGATACCTTAGGATGAGAATCCTAATGAAATCAGTTTGAGTCAATAGTATCCTGCATGCTGTCTCTTGGAAAACCTCCAGGAAATTGTTTCTCTAATCTGAGAAGAGAGTAAGAAAATTCTGAATTCTTGTAGCAAAGGAAACACTGCACTTCACGTGCCTGTGATTCTGTAATGCTGCTTCAGCAGACGGATTAAGGTAGTGGGTGAGTGCTTGAGGGCCATCATAAAACAGAGCATTTACTTGCTGGTAGCATGTTTCTGTGAAGAAAAATTTTATTGCAGTGAGGTCAAAAGGCAACTATAAGCAACTCCTGCTACTGTTCAGTTATTGCAATGATGTCTAAATTCTAACCCCTTGTATTGTGACTTTTGTGCCAAAAGTCAGGGAAAATATGCATACAAGTGGTATGATCAGAGCAAAACATTTTCCATTGTGTTACGTACGGATAACAGAAGCGTGCACCTAGACAGAGAGAGCCTGTGTTGGGTAGGTGGGGTGGGCTGGAGTGGTGAGGCTTGTTTTCTTTCTCTCCTTTGCTCTCCCCTCCCTTGTATTTCTCAAGAAATCTGAATGGCATTTCTCAAACCTTCATTTCAGACAAGTGCAAGAGAGAAACTTTGTACATAACTGAATGTGCCGAGTGTGAGCGTCACAAAGAAAACCATAAGGTAGCTCTGTGCTCTAGAAAACATCGTGACCAAACTGCAAAAAAACAGCATGAGGTATTGGTGCCTGGATAGAAATTAGTGCTTGGAATATGGGATTTTCAATGGATTAAGCCACCAAATGTTGCTGGCTATGCCAGCATGAGGGCAGTGGGCCTGAGTCACAGCAAAGCGGCCCTATTTATTTGAAAAAATGCCACTGACTTGCATGTTAGTGCAGCATGGGTGATGTTCTCCGGCCCGACCAGGAGGTAAGACAGCAGCAGAGATCTGAAGGAGTGTGCAGGGCTCTCCTCTGTGGGGACACCACTGTGGCAGACACCTTCAGAAGAGTGACATTACAGTAAGGAAAAAACCCTAAGGTTTTTAAACACCAAAAAAATCGATTCGGTTAAAAGAAACTTCTTCATAAGAAGAAATCAATGGAGAGACCATGTGACTGTCCTACTAAGCTGGAACTTGCTTTGGCTTTTTCAGCTGCTCTGTAGATAGGCAGGTATTGTAAAATGCATTTGCACCAACACTGCTCAGTCAGGGTGGCAGAGTATTTGCACATTTTCATACTTAGAGTATCAAACTCTGCAATAAAGTAGAAATTGATGCCAGGCCATGAACTAGCAGTACATTATTTTCTGGTGTGTTTATGGCCATACTTAGACATTTAGCCTCCAGGCTGGGAACAATGGCAATTCCAGCTATCATCAGCAGTAAGTGAGTGTCTGCTATCTAAATATGAAGTGATGGAGCAGTTGCCAGTCTGATTTTAGAATCTTGAAGTTGTTTGCATAGTTAAGTTATGATCTCTTCATCCCTTTGGCTTTATATATAGGCCAAAGGTGGAAGCTAGCAGAAAATCTTACAAGGAAGTTTGGAAGAGGCTTAAACTCTTGCTTTTTTTCCTTTTGCCTCTTTTCTTGCATTTTAAAATTGAATAGTGTAAATTTCATATTTTTCCCTAAGATTTCCTTCAAGATAAAAGTATTGATTGTAAATGTTGAAATATATGAATTATGGAGATATTTAACGAGGTGCTTTCAGATATGTTTAAAATGTACAAGTTTTAGCAATTGTATCAGCTTGTGTACAATGTGTGTGCAGCTCTGCCTCGGTACTATCTGTGGTTGTGTTTGCCAACAACCATCAATGGAGAGTCGAGGGAAGTTGGCAGCAAAATGTGTGGAGGAACAAGTACATTCTGTTTGAATGGACCAGAGAAGGAGAACCAGGCAGCCTGGATACTGGAAATGGAAGTGATTACATTTGGAACAAAAGGCTTTTGAAGAGAGGAAGACAATCCATTCCTCATCAGCTTTCTTGGCTTTTTAAAAGTTTCTGCTGCAAGGAGTCCTGTATTAAGTCATTAAGTGTATTTGGCTTTAATGTTTAAAGAGTATTTCCACTGAACCAAATCACCCTTAAAGAAACCTGCTCTGGTTTGGTGTTTGTGTGTGGGTTTTTTGTTCCCCCCCCCCCCCCAAACTTCAAATAACCAGGCCATGGCTATATGGCTGTTTATTTTCACTTGTCCCCAACCTGCGTCTCCAAACCCAACTAACTGCTGGGCTGCACAGCTCAGCACTGAGGATCGCCCAGGTTGCTGCCTTTGGCTATCTCCTCTCCCGCCATGTCAAGGCATAACAGAAATTCTGTGGGGTTTGTTCAGGCTTATTAAAACAATGTTAGTAGTTTTACTGAAATTTGAACCATTTTGAAGGACAGTGTTCTAACCTAAAGTTTGAGAGGTTTTACTCTTTCCTGTTCTTCAGTGACAAAAATGCTTGAATCAACATGTTGTGAGCAAGAGACATTTCTTCCACTTCTAAAGTGTTTGTACTACTTCTGTTACTGGATGGCTTAAAAATTTTGATAGTTTATTTCTGGCTATAATTAACGTGCTAGTATGTCCAAGTCAATGAAGCTGGACAAGAAGATTGCATTAATTTCATACTAATTATGGTGACTGACGCTTGCTGTGCTGTATCTCTGGACAGCAAACCAATAGCTATATAAATACTTTCCTGTGTGTGGTAGGGTTTTTTTGTCTGGCTTTTTTTGATGCCATTATCATGGCCTTGATATAATAACTTAAATAGAAGGGTGTGGGAAGTAGTAAAGCTATTACAGAACATGCACATGGAAAAAAGCCTTGACTCAAAATGTTGAATCATTTGCTGCACAACTTTTTTTTTTCTTTTTTCCTTTTTCCTCCTTTTCCCTTGTAACTCTCTGCATGAACTGTTCTGGTTTCTGTATCTGTTCAGAAACGTTGCTGGAATGGAAAGACAGTTACTGTCACTTGAAAACTAAATGGAGGTACATCTTCCAGAATGTTTGAAGCACTGCTTAATTTAATAAATTGCCTTCCCCCCGCCCCCCAGGTTTTGGGTTTTTTCCTCTCCTGAAATGGAAAACCTCTTTCATCCTGTCTCTTCAGCCGCTTGGCTTCTGTTTCTCTCTTCACTTCGCTCTTGGCATCTGCTCCCATATTACCGTTCGGGGGTTGTGTCTGTCTGCAGCAGGATCCCAAATGGAGCTGTGCCAGGGCTCGCCACTGCAGGTGGATACCCACTGGCCTTTACAAGACCACTTTAAACTCTCTCTCTGGGGTTTTTTCACTGTTTAGCTTGCTTATTTTACTGCTTGCTCTGTTGCACTCATGGTAAGAGGGGATAATTATGTGCTATTGTGTCCTAATGACTTTATTCAAGTAAAGCTAAAGCGTGAAGGAGCAAGCTGATGTATTCCTGCAGAACTTTATCTTGAAGTGGTTTTGATACTGTGCTTGTAAAACGCTGTCTGTGGGGACTGGGCTCATCTGGCTGAACTAATTGCAACTGGTTGTCAGAATTATTGATAGCAAGATGCTCACATTGCTGCTGGCTTCCTTACAGTTTTGCTGGAATGGCAAAGTGTCTTTTGACTTCAGTATTAGTTCCTCCTTTGTGCTGGAAAGCATTTACAGGAGCTTGCTGCCTGTTGTGTCCCAGGGTGAATGTTTCTCAGAATACTTTTTCTAATTTGACTCTGCACTTAAATACCATCACTAGATCATACGAAAAGGCTAAATGATAACTTTCTTGGCCCCCAAAATCTGTGTCTGATACCCATATATATTATATAGCTATATTATGTTAATTGATATAGCTATGTTTATTGTTAATATTTGGAACATTGTTACTCTTAACTTAGTTTTTCAGAAATTGATGTACATTTTTTTAATGCATTTCCTCATGCATATATGTTGGGTCATCTAAAAAGACTCTACAAACAAAACCAAACCCCTGCCTTTAATCTTCACATTTTTCTTCTCTCTGCATTTCTTGAAACCATGGTAACGGATGGGATAACCTATCTGCATTATAGTGGCTGCGCAGTGAAAGATTAGGCTTGTTGCAGCGTCTGATGCTAATGTATCACCATCTGTAAACCACAACAACCAGGTATAAGGGAAATTAATGTTTTAAAAAGAAGAGTTTGCTGTTAATTGTTAGGTATAACAGATCCAACTGACTTCAAATTCATATGTTCCTGTGTATTTTTTTAAATTTAGAATTTCACCATCCCTCTTATTTGTAACTATTAGTCTCACAATTTTAAACTTGCAGATTCTCACAGCCTAGACTCCAGTCGATATTCCATAGTAGGAGCAGATCTCCGTTTCTCGTCAGATCTGGAGGAGAAGCTAAAGAAACATAACCTGGATATACAGTAAGATTTATTTTTTTAATTTTTTTTATGAGGGCTTATGGAAGCATACTGGTGAGAGTAAAGTCAGACTTGGGCATACAGTATGTGCATACAGTGCTCATTATGCTATTTCCATGGTTACCTTTTCCTGAGCCCTTTGAGGAGAAGGAATTGTTCAGACACCTCATGCAGTCTCACTGAGCCAAGCAGGCTGGCATTGCTGTGACTGCTTGGTAGTTCCAAGCAAGGTTGTTCCTTGTGTTGTCTATTCTGCAAACTGTGTTTCAGGGTTGTTTTTTTTAAGAATTGGTTCAGTTGCATTTGGTTTTAATGCTGACTAATGGGTAGGACCTAGATCAGTGAACATCTTCCACCCCTAGTGTAATGGCTGTATGAGTGAAGATTTCTGGGAGCTTAACTGGTAAAATGAAGGATAATTCTGTCAATGTTAAATTATTTCAGAGTTTTATCTTTGTAATTATTTTCTGTTGCCTCCACTTTAAATCTCTATTGTTCCCTAGACCTTTTGGTAAAGTGATTGCCAAAGAGTCCTTTGAGAACTTAACTCTGGAAGCTAATATCTGGGACTTTATTGTTCAATTGTTAGGCTTCTGGAGGGGGCAAGATTTAAGTTTCTAGAGTGGTTGATGGACATACCTTTCAAATATAAGATATATAAATAGCGGCTATCTGGCTGGGTGGGAGAGAGCATATGGGTAAGCAGAATGCATCAAATTGCCATTTAAATCTTTACACTTCCATCTTCTGAAATCTTGCCTTGCTTGCCTACATTGCTGTTCCTTGTGGAATTTCTCCTGTTTCTAGTGACTTTTCTTTTTCCTGTTCAATCTAGCAATTAAAACTCCATAATTCTAAGGAAAATTACTTGTGTAGATGTCTATTTTTGGGTTTTTTATGGATGGAGGAGGAAGAGGCAATGTGCAAACTATAGATTGCATTTTGTAAGATAATAATATGTGAAGCTTATTTTACAGATACTGAACACATTTGTCTAATTAAAATTCTTCTTGGAACTTTTTAAAGAGAAAACATTTTTTTTCAATTTGTATTTTATTCCTAATTTTACTGATGTCTAAAAGAGTGTGAATTGTGTGTATAGGGTACAATCCTTCTGCAAAATGAATTTCAGTATGCAGTTCATGCTATCACAGTTAAGAGAAGACTTACAGGATACACGTTCTTCTGTGTTCGTAGTATGGCTGACTTAGGGGAGATTGTTTCCTAATATCTCTGTGTTGTAACCACGGGAGTCCCCTGCCGACTGCAGAAAACCCAGGTCTAGTCAACTTGATGAAGTAATTTCATTCAGTCTTAAATGTCTAGTTCATAAAAAGTGGAGGTCTTTTAAGAAGTTTTGGGGACGTGAAATGACTTGCTTGCTAATAAATCTTTATAGAGGTTTCTTGTTCTTTTGCTAGAAATAGTTCTTTTGGTTTTGTTTTTTTTTTTTTGTTTTAAAGTTTGCCAACGCTTCTGGTAGCGGAGTGTGTGCTGGTTTACATGACACCGCAGCAATCTTCAAATCTTTTAAAGTGGGCAGCAAGCACTTTTCCAGTGGCGATGTTTATAAATTACGAGCAGGTAAAACAAAAATGGCATTTTTAGACCTGCATTATTGTCATGAAAATTGGTCTCAAAAGTGGGAGTTCTGCTTGTAAAATAAGAGTGAGCCATATCCTCTTGTACAGACAACAGTTTCTGCTGAATTTCTTTGGTAATGTGTTGTATTTTGTAGATCTGTTAGCTCATTGTAAAGATTATATAGCTATTCTGAAAGACAATTGCTGGACTATATTGAACCAAAAGAACTGTGGCTTAATCCATATATGAAAAAAACCATAGAATATTGGTTTAGATAAGACAGAGGAAAAAGAAATGATGCTGAATGTTGGATATGAGTGTATAACAGTACATAATTACCTCTCTGTTCTTTAGCAAAGTGGAGCAAAAATCACATCAGCATGAACATAGCTTCTCTGAATGGAAGTAAAATGCTGCCTTGGGGGAACTAGGTGACTCCAGGAATTAGAAACAGGATCTTCCAAGCTGTAAATCACTGCTAGAGAGCTGAACCAAGCTGCTGACAACTTAAAGCAGAGTCAGTGTTCAGTCTCCAGTTGTCACCATTAAACTGGCACTCGGTTTATAAACACGAGGTAGTTGAGGAGGTTGTGCCAGTGGGACATGAGACCTGGTGTAAGAATATGTGAAACTTACTTTAATGTTATCCTGTACATCTTATGACATAGACAATTCGAGAGTTTAACCAAGTTACTGCTTTTCACTGCGATTACATTCTTTTCGGAAGGGGGAACACTTTTGTCTCATTCTCTACCTGAGGTGAATATGACGGATCGATTTGGTCAGATCATGATTGAGAACTTGCAGAGACGACAGTGTAACCTGGCTGGAGTGGAAGTCTGCAGGTCCTTAGACTCTCAGGTAAAGGGGCACAGAGTTCTGGGTGTGTTTGATATTAAACTTAATTAATCCGTCTGCACGTTCTGCCTCTGTGTGTGCACTGTAAGGCTCAGGGCAGTGACGAAAGCAGATTTAGGGTGGGGCAGCTGCTCCCTGCTGAATCCCTTTCTTATGAGTTCCCTATTATCAATGCCATGGTTGCTCAGTATCACTTAGTTTCTGTAGTTGTACAAAACCTGCAGTAGATCAGAGCACAGCTCTGTCTAGCCCGCTGTCCTCTCTGCACAGAGGTTAGCAGCAGATGCTTAGAAAAGTGTGCAAGAGCTCTTCAAAGAACAGGTCAAGCAGATGGCCTACCAAATCCTTAGGGGCAAAAACTGTTCTCTGGTATTTTAGCTCAAGTCCTCTGAAAAATGTGCTGCTTGTTTATTTTACAGAGGGAACGATTGCTGTTAAATGGCTGGGAAACTGCACGTGCCATTGATATGATGAAAGTGTACGGCTTTTTGCCACAGGCTGATGTCAAAAGGTATTACTGATAGCTTGCTTGCGGCCAAAAGTCATCTTCGGATGCCATTTCCAAGATAGTTCACATCAATATGTAGTATGGGATCCCCTAGTATTATAACAGAGAGGAGGCTGTGTGCAGATGCTAGCTAGGTAGACAGAATGTGCCTGAGTGAAGCTCTGCAGAGCCTTAAGGATAATGCCTGGAGCACCATTAATGATCCAGAGGGTTATTGCTGCCAGAAGTAGACTGGCAGTGGTGATGACTTATTTGGGTGCAATATAAAGCATCTCATGACAGAAATTTGCACGTAAAAGATGCTACAGAAATGCCGTATTGAATTTTTACAGTACCAAGATGTTTCTTGTGAAAATCCAGCCTCCACAACACTAGATGGGTGGAGCAGAGTCCTAAAATACACTCAGCAACAGGCAGCCACTTTTCATGTCCCCGAGGGAGTTGACATCCAGGTGTTTGCTCCAGTCTTGTAGGCCTCGGTAAGATTACTTACCCATTTGGTTTTTTTACTACAAGTGGGTGGAAAATGATCCCTCCCTTCTTCCTTGGCAGCATATTTAGGTAATGAGCCAAGGCAGGGCAGTAGTTTAGTGCTATGACCTAATGTACTATGCAAGCAAAGAGGGAGAGAGAGAGGAGAGGTGTGCCCAGCAGCATCGTCTGTCTGCCAACAGATTGATGCATCTTCCGTTCATATCATCTTCATGAGCTAGACTGCTGGGTCTGTAGCCAGAGCTAAGTACGTAGCGGACATAACTAAAGGCTGTTATAACAGTCCGTAGTCTGCATGGATTTTGTTAATTTTTTTGCATTAAAGAAAAGCAAAAAAGGGGGAAACTTTTTAATGAGTAACTTCTTAGGTATGTAATATGAAGTGCGAATTGCTGTGAGCCATTCATTAACTATAGTTTGAATTAACCGAACAAGTTAACTTGGTCAAAATAAGTATTCACATAGGAGGATTTCTCAAACTGTGGAACTTAACAGGTGAGACTGAAAATCATAGATTGTTTAATTAGGAATGATGACTGTGTGATTGTACCATATGGCACTTGTGGAAAGACATAGCTTGTACTTTCTTTGCAGCATTTTTTACTACTTTAGATCTGTTCAGCTTCTTCCACTTGTTCCAAATGCTGAGAAATAGGTTACGTAAACTCAGTCCTTCAGTATTAATGAGGCAAATAATTCTTTCTGTTTATAAAAGTCTTTATAAAAATGTTCTTCGGCAGCACTTGCACATCTGTGAGTGTATTTAGGAACTCTTGCCCCTCAGCCTCTTTTGATCCTCAGTAGCAGCCCTTCCAAATATTTAGCATGGAAAATAAACACTCTGATATTCAAGTAATCTAGAGTGAGAGAGAGGAATGTGCTGGGTTAAATTTTTTAAAGCAAGCACAGCTTGGGAGAAGTTCTCCCATTTGTTTGGTGGAAGACATTCAAATATCTTTAAAAATCCTAGGTAGGAACCATTTTAGGGAAAAAAATCTTCAGATCTTATATGTACCATTTGGTTTGTGCTTCATCATGAGCTCATGTGGGAGAGTTGTTAGAAGCTGCACTGGTGTACCCATCACTCTTCCAAGACATAATATGGACTTGTTGTGATTGTCTGGAGAAAATATAATTTTCAACTATTTGCTGTAATCCTTTGATAAAGATAAACCTCCTTCCATTAGGCTGTACTATTGTGTCTACTTAAATCCAGCAAGACCAGATACATGCTGTAAAAGGGGTTAGAAGAGAAATACTGGTATTTGTGAGATGTTACACAGATAGTCCTGGAATATGGAATTCCAGGGATGTGAACTTGAAAACATCTCGTGGGTCACTTGTTTCATACATTGACGGGAAAGGCTGGTGGTGGTGGTGGTGGTGGTGGTGGTATCTTCATTATGGACAAATACCTGTAGTAATTTACTAGAAAGGTAACTGTCTTATTGGTCGTAGTTTTCACTCCTATGGACTGAAGAATACATTAAAAACTGTACTGAGACTCCAGCTTGAATCACAATTTTTATTTTATTCCTACAGAATAGAAGGACTTGAATTCCTAGATGAAAAGGAACTGTTTGAACAACTAATGCAGCACTACTGCATCTGCTGGGCTTCAAAGGACAGCAGTAATCTGGGTAATGTTCTCCAACATCTAGGAGGTGACCCTTCACATTGAAATGACATGGAAAGACTGGGACTACATACACCAGATGTATGATAGAAGT